GTGCCGTACGCTTCAATTATGCGGCCCTTTTCACCCTCCACACTCTGCCCCCTTTTCTTACCCCCTTTAACAGCCCCCTTTTGACCCCCATTATCAGAAGCCTGTCTTTTGATGTTTCACTGGCCTGCCACTCTGAAGAGAGCCTAAAGTTAGCGAAATGATAATTATCAACAAAAAACCGACTCCTACAGTCTTCCACCAAACACAATGCAGTGAATGCACCTTCATTTTGGCTGCTGTACCTGACTGGAAATATAGCTTGTATATTTTCATCATCTGGGTGTTTAATGCTTGGGGGAAGAAGAGAGCTAACACCTCTTCTACTGCGATAATTGAGTTTGTTTCATACGCCCTTGTGTCTGTGTAGGCCGAAGGGCATGTCTCCTGCCCCGGCGCACACACTCATGCTGTATAGCGTCTAATACCACAATACCTACAAAAACAAAGGTATTAAAATTTATAGGGTAAAAAAAAAAAAAAAACCCCTATCATATGTCGTATACATTGGTCTTTTATATTCTTTTCTTATGAATTAATGGTATCTCCTCGTAAAGTCTGTAGTGCCGAGTGGATGCTCAAGTCTCGGGCTCGCTATCGACATCCAACTCAAATTCACGCCCGCCTCCTACTTGAGATGTGTACCGAATGACCCAGAACAACGCACCCTCATTTTTGGCTGTACCTGACTGGAAACATAGCTTGCATACATTCATCATCAGGGTGCGTTACGTTCAGGGGAAAAAGAGAACCTACAGTTAGCCCAGTATCAACGACAACTGACTCCTGCCGTCTTCTCCCGAACATAATGTACCCTCATTTTTGCTGTACCTGACTGGAAGTACAGCTCGTATACATTCATCATCTGGGTGCATTATGTTTGGTGAAAGACGATAGGAGTCCTTCCGGAAATCATACCCTCATTTTTGCTGTACCTGACTGGAAGTACAGCTTGTATTCATTCATCATCGGGGTGCGTTATGCTTGGGGAAAGACGATAGGAGTCCTTCCGGAAATCATACCCGCATTTTTGCTGTACCTGACTGGAAGTACAGCTTGTATTCATTCATCATCAGGGTGCGTTATGTTTGGGGAAAGAGGATAGGAGTCCTTCTGGAAACCATAGGTGGTGACAGCAGGTAGCAATGCGAATCCGTGGAGATCATAAAAATAGGTTTCAGTTATAAAGGGATTTAGAGAGGAATTTAAAATTTTGGGAGATTATGGGCCTCGCTGCACTACTCTCGAAATGTGCAAAACGAGAGTGAATCTTCTGCTAGAATATGGAAAGATACACGGCCATGATGTTTGTCTTTTGTGCATTTCAAGAGTAGTGCAGCGAGGCCTTATGACCGATTTGTTAGGAGAAGCGGTTTGAGTATCTATAACTTCAGAAAAAGTTGAGGTAGTTTCTGTTTTTTTTTGGGCAAAACATCTTTGGCAGCCTGCTATTGGATGGTGGGGTTGGGTAATGAGATCGGTGTGACGGTGGAGGGATGCCAGTTTTGTGAGTGTGAGAAGGACAGGTTACGAGGCTATCTGATGATGAGCCCCCCGGCGACTCTCATATCATGATATAAAGTGCTGTTGGGTGGAGTAAACAGTGTGATAGTCTAACAGAGTCTGTCTATATATATCGTCAAATGCTGATGAGTCGGTGAAACTCCGACGAAACAGTTTGTCACAGCCCCTCGTTTGTTGTCCTCTTCTCCCTCTCTGCCAAGGTTTACCGTAGGCAGTTCTATTTGTGACGATATATATATTCGATATATATATATGTCCATAATATCCTGGAATATTGACTATCTTGAGACGTCATTGCAAGCACTACCATCTTCACTCGAATATAATGCCTGGCTAGGCTAGCAGCCGGGCCGCCCGGGTCACCCTATTTTCCCGGGCGGTCCGGCCGTGCAAGGACCAGGGGAGGTCCCAGCCAAAAAATAAATAATTAAAAAAAATCAAAAAAATCCGAAAAAGGCCATTTTCTGTCCAGATGCAACGACCGGGCGTTCTATTCAAGGTGAAGACGGTAGCCCTCACATCTATATGTTCTTAATGACACTGAAAACACCTTACCGTGATGGATGTGTTCTTCTTTCGGCCTTTGGCTGAGTCTGTCTCGTTGTTAGAATTGACTGCTGTTGCCTTCCTTTCTCTTCCCTGCCAGAATGCCTGCAATTTTGCTGTGTCTTATATTGCATGTGTATGAGATTCCTAACAGTGCCTGGTTCTCTTGTTTCTTATCTTATGCATCTTTCTTCTTCTTATCTCATGCATCTTTCTTCTTCTTATCTTTTTTTTTTTTTTTTTTTTTTTTTGTCTTTTTTTTTTTTCGGCAGTTGGAGTTAAGTTGTAACGCGCGAGGGCCTCATGAGATGAGTGGGAAGAAAGGACATGACTCGTATGAGGTGAAGCGAACTTGTTTACGTTCCTGGCAAACGTCAAAATCCCAATTTCGCAGACTTGGCGGATGGCTCCAGCACTGATGCCTCCAGCACTGATGCCTCCAGCACTGATGCCTCTTTTCACTTTGTGATGGGAATGAACGTGAAACACGAGACTGCAAGGAGACCGTCTACAGTGAACGTAGGAACTGTCCTACTCTAAGGAGGGCATTTGGTCACACACACACACACACACACACACACACACAGAGACACACACACACACACACACACAGAGACACACACACACACACACACACACACACACACACACACACCTGTCTCTTATACAAAAGCCTTCCTCACCGTCTGTTCGGAACAGCAGTGCCGTACGCTTCAATTATGCGGCCCTTTTCACCCTCCACACTCTGCCCCCTTTTCTTACC